TTATCAATTAGCTTCTCCCATAATCATTGCTATGGAACACTGAATTATGCAACAATAATACTTGAATATGGACATTACATTTAATAACGGGATACTACTCGTTTGAGAATTCCTTATTCAGTAAATTATTAATAAGTCTTAATAGTTGGATTTAATTCCCACCAAGTCCTATTGACAATTAGTAACTTTCTTTGTCACGATTTTTATAAATTATTGCTAAAACTTACAATTAGTGACGTTTTTCTGTGACGAATCTTTTAAATTGTAGCTGAAAATTGAAAATTAGTGACTTTTGTTGTGATGATTTTTTTAAACTGTTGCTAAAACTTATAATTAGTGACATTTTTTGTGACAATTTTCAAACTATCGCTGAAAATTAACAATTAGTGACGTTTTTTAATAGTGTTTGATGAAAAACGCTATTAATTATTATAGGACTTATTGGACAACAAGTCCACCTATTAGGACCTACACGTAAGTCTCCCTTGATTATTTTAATTAGCTTTTTGACTTTTTATAAAAGATATGCTAAAGAGAGCGATGCGTCAACTTATAATGTCTTTCGAGCTTTTTGACTATTTTAACGTATTAACAAACGAGGCTTAAGTTAATCTTTGATCTCTACCTTATCAGACGGCTTCCCCATAAGTACCCGAATTGCGTCTCATTCGACAACTAGTTTTACTAGATAGATGTTACACATCAATTTTTTTGATCACACTCTAGCATTGGCATCAAGTCACAACAATCTAAATGTCTGGCCTTTTCAACCAATTAATGGAGACAAACTCCCATAACAATATAAGCTGAAGAAGAATTGTGACAGAGCATAGGCCAAGTATGTGATGAACTTATTTGAAAGAGGGGATTTCAATGCATGACACTTGAATGAAACCTTTTTTGACTGGGAAAACCGAGAGGATATGCGTTTTGTATTTTCTTAGTGCCTAGTCCCTCCACTTGTAAGAGATTTTCTTTTTCGCTTTTGTAAATGTGTGTTTTTTGTAGCCGTGTTGAGCCTTGGGAAGTATCATATATTCATGGAACCGACTCCATTTGATGAGACTTGAGACTTGGTTTGGTTTTGATTTTTAAAATTTTTCCCACTTAGCCAAAAATAAATAAATAAAAGTCTCACACTAGTTGGCTTCTTGATTTCAATATTAAATCATTCTTACCCTCTCATGAGGAATTGATTTAGGAGGAAAATGTTAATTAACTACACCTATTGTTCTTCTGTTTGCAACTAGAAAGGATGGTGCAACCAAATAATATGGATATGTTTTTCCCAAAAGATACCAATGCTCAGAACACTGTATCAAGGCAAACAAAATGAAGTGAAATTTATAAAATAATTTCACACTTTTCCCTCATTTTCTTCTTATTTTTTCTATGATTTCTTTTTCCCTCCTTTCTCCACAATCCATGATTCAATTTTTCTTCAAGGAAAATGATATTCTGTCACTGTCATCGTTAATTCTCCTATATGAGGAGAGGCACACAATACAAATGATGTTTATATTGGTCTCGTCCAATTACAGCTGGTCTACTTTCCACCAGTCTGATCTAAATCGATATTTGCAATAGACACTCACATTAACTAGATGAAAACCCGGATGATCCACTTATGAGGGATTGGAGGCGGTTGATTTTGTGATTGGGCAATGGATACTTCCTATCATCTGCTGTGATGAAGAGAAACAAAGAAACTGCATGAGGTTGAGGAACATCAGAACAGAACCATTAGAAAAACGTTAACCATTTACTTATTGTGTGTCTTGAAAATATGTATCAAAGTAATAGGTAATTTCTCCTCTTCTTCCATTACAAATCCTAAAATGCCGACGATTATAAGATTAAAATTTTACTTTTATGTTTGCCCTTTCTGATCGAATTTGAAGTCTGTGTTGTAATGTATAAAATTTAGAAGGACAAGAGAAGGGCGAATAACACTAACGGTCTCTATAGTTGGAAACTTGACTTTTCAATTGTGACACATTTGACCATGAATTTTGAATCTTGTTCCAAATAAGGACAATTGGAAATACCATTGCTTAATTTCAAGGGCACAATCGTCAATTTGATAAAATATAAACTAATTTAACAAAAATAAATGTCAAAAAAATATTTTTGAATTTTAAAAAATTATTTCCACCCACAAAAAATAAAATTATATAAAACTGATAAATCTTTTAGACGTTTATTTATTTATTTCTTTTACCAAACTAATTTTTATTATGTGTCGATTGTTTTTATTTTCATTAAATTAATTTCTATTTTTTCAAAGTCAAATATGGCGGCGACAACTTTGATATCATTATTAAACCAATTCATTAAATCAAAAAATTCAAAATTAAAAGCATTTCATATATTAAATATATCGATTACATATTAAAGTTCTAACAATCAACCATTACATGATCATCATCCAAACACATAATAAAAATTAATTTGTTACAAAAAATAAATAAATAAATAAATGCCTCAAAAAATTATCAATTTTACATAATTTTATCTTTGATAGGTAAAAATAATTTTTAAAAATTCAAAAATATTTTTTTGACATTTATATTTGTCAAATTAGTTTATATTTTTATGAAATTGACGATTTTACCGTTGAAATTAAGCAATGGTATCTTCAATTGTCCTTATTTGGAACAAGATTAAAAATTCATGATTAAATGTGTCACAATTAAAAAGTCATAAAGTGGCACGAACCCCAAACTATAGAGACTGTTAGTGTAATTCGCCCAAAAGATAATGTATAAAATTTGAAAAAAAAAAAAGTGTTAGTTATATTTTTTATTAAATTAATGAGTACCAAGAATTTTTTTGTTTTTTTTTTTTGTTTTTAATAAGTAATCCAACATGATTGATAAGGTTGAGATCAAAGATTAACTTTTGCTTATTTTGACAAGCTAGTTAAAAATTAGCTTTTTGATTTTTTAGTTTTTAAAATCACATTATTTCTCTACTTTTTTTATACGTTTTTTCCAAAACAGTCAACAAAAATAAATAAATAAATAAAATAATTTTTAACCTATTTCCCAGAGCACCAAGTATTCCACTATTAAATGTAATGTCCATATTCAAGTATTATCATTGCATAATTCAGAGCTTTCTATACTCCATTTTTCCTCCCAAAGTTGTGTTAAAAAAAATAATTTGTTCAAATTCAAATGATTATATAAATAAATTAAACCTAAACACATTAAAAACTATTAATTTTGTTTGGACTTGCAAATTGCAATGAGACCAATTCACCATCATTAAAGACGGCCTCGCAATGATTACTTTTTTTGCTTTCACCTTTGCTGGAATTTTTGTAAGGATTTTTTGTCAAATACTAAAAATTAAGATCAATGAATTATTTAACAAAAAAAAATATTTTTCTTGTAAAATATATATTACAAAGCTTAAAAGTTAAAAATAATTTACATTTATTTCATACATTACACAAAGCCTTCGTTTGAGAAGTGAGTTAGCTTTTTAAATTTTTTAGTTATTTTAGCCTGGAACTAAAAAGTTTCATTTGAGAATGAATTTTGACTTTTTTGAAATTTTTGTGAGAGAAAGAATGTAACGATTATGAATTAAATGTGATGTTTTATCTTATTAGGTTAAAAAATCTATTTTGTTTTTTGTGACTAAAATAGCCAAAAAAAAACCCCAACCAAGGCTTCCCAAATGAAGCCAACTCAACTGCTAATATTATCATACAATTCAATTTCACATATTAAATTTCAATAGACTTTATACAAATACTACCCTTAACCAATGTTCATTTGCGCAATTGATAGGCTTTCTCTTAAAATGAACCAAAGGTTGTTGGGTATTGGGGATTCAAATCCTCTCATCTACCACAAACTATTTTGGTTTTGGTTTTGGTTTTCTTGTTCTCTTCCGTTTTAGAATAAGATTTCAAATAGGTAAGCAAAGAGATACATACTCCGAATTATATCCACATTTTAATTCTGGTGGCATCCTTCTACCTCTAGCAGAATCTTGGGACCTCTTTAAATACCAGAAAAACAAGTAGAGTACAACATATATAACAAACTAACCCAAGTATGGGATGGGATGCGCTATTTCTTACTAACACAGTGGAAGAGTATCTCTATCAAATTGAACCTTAAACACCCAACCTTTGTTCAGCAGAGAAGAACAAGTACAACATACATAACAAAGTACCCCAGGGAGCTATTTGTTATAAACACAGTGGAACTTAATAACAGTATCTCTAAGAAATTGAACCCCAAACACCCAACCTTGGTTCAGCAAAAAAACAAGTAGAGTACATGAGCTATTTCTTACGAACACAGTAGAACTTAATAACATTATCTCTAAAAAAGTACGACATACATGACAAAGTACCCAGGGAGCTATTTTTTACAAACACAGTGGAACTTAATAACGTTGAACCCCAACCTTGGTTCAACAAAAACCCAACCTCACAAACACAGTGGAACTTAATAACGTTGAACCCCAACCTTGGTCCAGCAAACACCCAACCTCAGTTCAGCATGAACAAAAATTACACACGCGATCAGTGATGCTCATGATGACCTTCATCTGACATTGCCATTTCCCAATTTATCCATTATGCTTCTAAATTCCGCAAAAATATTGACGGGCAGCCATGATTCGATTTTAGACGGTTTGCAAATCATGATTCGATTTTAGACGGTTTGCAAATCGATCACAGTTTGGACAAAATTCAACTCACAACTGCTTGTAGTACAGATAGGGTTTGTAAATGTGCAGACGATTTGTGAATTGAACTTTTTTCTTTAAAAATTTATTTTGGAACCTTTTTTTCCCCACATTTTGTAAATATTCATTTTGGACCCTCTTTTCCCTATTTTCTAAAATACTCCAACATTAATAATTAATTAATTAAAACTTATAAAATTAAAAATACAACAAAATCAATTCCTAACACAAACAAATCATTCAAAATCCTAAACTTTTAAATCAAATCATAAACTAACACAAGCACATATTCAAAATCCAAAACTAGATCATCAATCTCATTCAACAATACAATTAAAGTAAAATAATTCAAGATCTTAAACTTACCTAAAATAATTCTTCATTAATTTTTACATTCATCCAAAATTCAATAATCAAAAAACAACAGTCGAGGTTTTTATCAAAAAAACAAAAGAAAGAAAGTCTTTGCGGGTAAGTTCTTGCGGGTGTGGACAACCCGCTTTCAAACCACATTCACAGGCATTGTAACTGCAGAACTGCCCATACTTTCCTTTGCACTGGCATTCGGCTCACCCTGACTTCCATTGGCATTGCCATTTCTCAATTGATTCATTATGCTTCTAATTTCTGCAACAATTTTGACAAAATCATCTCTGATCTTATCATAGAAACGATATACAACAATGCCAAAAACACAGACCCATATGCCCAAAGCCAGCACCCAATGGCTGGGAAAATGATCAATATGGGCAAAATAACAGCAAGTGAGCCCAAGAACAAGCTTAATATGTTAACTATAATATGATCTATGCCTTTGGTTCGGAGTGCTAATTCAATCACCAACGATATAAAATAGATTGCAATAGTTGCTACAAATGCTACCGCCTTCGGATATTGTGTTTCAAATGGTTTATACGTTGTTCCGAGGAGGCTACCCAACAAGGCAATAAAAACCCAAAAAATTTTATGGAAATCATCGTAAGAATTAGCTGCCGGCACCCTACAAACCATCACAAGATAATGAAATGAGCATTAGAATACAAAATAAAGGGTTAAGTGCAATACAATTGAATTCACAGGGGTGGCACCCGATATACACACAGAGAAAAGGGCAAACAAGGTAGTAGGTATAGTAAAGAGCTGGCAAATGCAATGCCAATTCAGACACAGGGACCCAGCCAAATCTGCTACCAGTTAGTGGTTTAGGTTTACTTAGTTTTACATGCAAGTCGCATTTGGGAAACTTGATGCTTAAAAGGAGGTCTGTATGCAGTCCTAGCAGCATGGGGCAACAAATAGATTAAAAAGAAATAAATAAAAATAAACTAATTAACACTTGGGCAAATTAAGATGATACTTTACCACTTGAGTCTCCTAAGGGGGCACCCCAACAGCTTAGGCCACATTTCCCCAATAAAACACTCAACTTTGAGTCTAAATAAAGTACACATCAAAAAAGATACTTAAACCACTTGACCAATTAGCACATGATGTTAATCTAAACATACATGATATTTCTCCTCCTTCAGGTTAGTGGGTTTGCATTTGAGTGCTTTTTTTCCTTGCATATGAGTTTATTTTATATCATGTAAATTTAAGCAAATACACATTTATTTCATATATATAAATATACCATCCATATATTATTAAATATATAAACTTACATACATTACACGTATAAACATAATGTATGGTACATAATCAACTATACTTGATATAGAGTTTTTAGTCTTACATCCATTCATAACTTCTTATTAGATCTAAACTCTGCAAACTACGATTTAAGTATTTCTTCCATACAAACTGCACATGAAAATTTCAAGTTGAACAGAAATAGATAGAGCTCTCATCTACAAAGCCCTCCTATCAGAGTTGTATTACGTGAAGAAATGCGGACATAGTTATAAGATAGCTCTTAAATTCTTAATCTTTGACGGGCTGGAAATTTAAAATATGGTATATATTATGGCTATGAAAAGAGTATAAAATCCAACAGTTAATTTTTGAGAAAAGCAAATCTAACGAAAAGGTTATGAAAGAGTTATAACACAATTTTACATGCACACATTCATGGAGGTACACTTACATTCCTTCTAGCTAAGTCGAGTTTTTTCTTTTAGTTTCCTCCTTTTTTCTTACTTTCTTTCCTTTTTATTTCTTTTCTTTGAATATTTATATAGGCAACCCTACTCACACAAATTATATTACCTGATGGGTACACCCCTTAAACTCAGATCCTGTGCCCCTTTGATAGTCTACCGCAAAATCGAACATATGCAAGTCACATGCAAATTTATAAAGTGAATTGACAATCTTACCCATCCATCTCTCTTCCTCTTCTAAACATACCATTTGTTTTCTAAATATTTTTTGTATTTGACAGAGGAATGCATGCATATATCTACATATTCACATATATAACACAAATTGAATGCTTCCAAAAAATCGAGGTTACAACTTACATATACTCACTGATTTATTTGTGCTTGTGTATGTCAAGAAATACACACACACACACATATGTATCCATTGCAATTTGTGCATCATGGCCCTATCCAATTCCAAACTAAGAGAGTAGTGAACGACCAATAGTCATACAAACATGTAACACCCCTATATATTTTGAGGTATAATTGATTAGGCGGTGGAAACATTTTAATTTCCTTAGCTGGATTATCCCAAAAACATCCATTTAGAACAATTGCATAAATAAATGAAATGAAATGAAACATTCATCTAGGCAGGGCTAGATGTTTGAGATCTTTGTACACATTCAGCTTTGGAAAGAACAAGTTTGTTCTTCTCTTTAATTTCCTTAGCTGGATTATCCCAAAAACATCCATTTAGAACAATTGCATAAATAAATGAAATGAAGCATTCATTACCATTTATTATACCCTCCCAGCCTCAAACACAAAGAGTACAAGATTTTACAAAGAAAAGAGAAGAACAAACTTGTTCTTTCCAAAGCTGAATGTGTACAAAGATCTCAAACATCTAGCCCTTCCATTCAACATCTAGGCATACAAGCATCTATATATAGATACGCACATAGCTTTAAACACAAGAGACTTCCGCATAATATATATAGATACAAAGATATCAAAGAAAGTTGATTCACTAACCTTGAATGCTCCGAATTGGCGTTCATTTTCAATTGGCTGAATAACAAATCTATGGAATAACAAATCTTTGATAACCTAATGCTAAATCAGAATTAGAACTCAGCCGTCTTCCTTTGTACAAAACCCTTCTCCTTTCCTTTGGATTTTGATCCCATGCTACACACCTTTAAAGCTTCTCTCATTTGGGTTTTTATCCCCTGCTCCATACACACATCTTTAAAGCTTCTCCTTTAATTTGGGTTTTTATCCCCTACTACCTAGGAAACACGGGTGCGGGTACGAGTACGGTACCGGTACGGGTACGGGTACGGGTACGGGATCAAAATCCAAAGGAAAGGAGAAGGGTTTTGTACAAAGGAAGACGGCTGAGTTCTAATTCTGATTTAGCATTAGGTTATCAAAGATTTGTTATTCCAATTTTTGTTCTAATTTATCAAGTTATTAGAGACGTAGAACCTGTTCATTTTTTTGTTCTAATTTATCAATTTTTTTGATAAACCTGTTCTAATTTATCAATTTTTGTACAAAGGAACCTGTTCTAATTTATCAATTTTTGTACAAAGGAACCTGTACAAAAATTAGAAAACCTGTTCTAATTTATCAATTTTTGTACAAAGGAACCTGTTCATTTTTTTGTTCTAATTTATCAATTTTTTTGTTCTAAATATGATTAAATAACTTGGTTCTACGTCTCTAATTTTTTTTTTGGTTCTACCTCTCTGAACAGGTTCATTTTTTTGTTCTAATTTATTAATTTTTTTGTTCTAATTTTTTTTTGTTCTAAATATGATTGAATAACTTGGTTCTACCTCTCCGACCAGGTTCTACCTCTCTTAAGAAGAAAGAAGAAACAAGAAGAAACAAGAAAAAAAATAAAGATGAAGACAAAGAGAAGAAGAAACAAGGAGATGAAACAAAATCTGACCAGTTGCTTGCTGTTTGCTGATATGCCCGCACCCAAAAATTCTGACCAGTTTCTCACCGGAGGGAAGACGAAGAGATGCAACAAGGGACAAAACCAGATGCTTGCTGATCTGCAAAACAAAAAATATATGAGACGAAGAAGAAGAAACGAAGAACACGAGGGTGGAAGATGTAGACAAAGAAGAAGAAAGCGAAGAAGAAGATGAAGATGAAGACGAAGAAGAGGAAGAAGATGAAGTGCACTCATTGGAACTCTCCTTGCGTCGTCGTCGCGGGAGGCCTTCAAAGGGAATGGATGGGTCGCCTCTTTGCTGCTGGGTCGCCTCTTGCTGCTGTGTTGCTGAAGTGATGAGATTAGGGCAAAACAAACATCATTCGTGTATATTCCTTCTTTCTTTTTTCTGAAATTTTTCTTAATATTGCTCCGGTACCCCTCAATTCTCCTAGAAATTTGATTTCTGCCCCTGACGTTCCTGAAACGCACTAAAGATGTACCCATGCCGTACCCAATCCGTACCCAAGCTGTACCCGATTGAACCAAACGTACCGGAGTCCTTTTTGCTGTACCCGGTACGCATGCAGCCGTACCGGTACGTGTACGGCACTATTTTTTGAGTACCCGTGCTTCATAGCCTACTACACACATCTTGATGACTCACTCCCCCACCACTCTATGGAGAGGAATCAGCAACTAGCCAAGATGCTTGCATGGACTATTTGGCTTCTGCTACTAGACCCAAGACTTGTTACTTGGCCCTTCTATGTAGCCCATTTTATTGAGCTCTAAATGGGCCTGATGGATGAGGCCAAATGGGCCAACCTGCAATTGGGCCTAATGGTATTGGGCTGCTTGAACACGGCTCCCACAGCCTCCAAAGTCGCACGTTTGTCCAGGGGAGAGGAGATCTGCTAAATAGATTGACTAAACCCTAAAACCTAGATATAACATAACATAGCACGTTGAGAGATTGGGTTAATTACACTTAGCACCCTTGCATTTTCGTCATAACTTGACTTTGATCCCTTTACTTTCAATTCATTGAGACAGTTAAACCCCTAAACGCTTTAACAAAAGCTGCAATGTCACCTTTCACCCATCTATTGTTAATGAGGTTGACGAAGAATAAAAATAAACGAAACAAAAGGAGATTTTGATAAAAGTACAACATCTAATGTGAGATTTAGATGAAAAACAAAGTGAGATTTTGATAAAAGTACAACAACTAATGTGAGATTTAGATGAAAATATAGTGTAACTAACTGCGGGGGTATTGAACCCACACCAAGTGCTGTGGTAGCAACAACTTGAGGCTAACCTTCTAACCAACTGTGCTACGCCCAAGAGGTTGGCTCAAAGAGTTTCGAACTTGAGACTTGGGGTCTTAACCCCAGGCCTTTACCAAGTGCGATACAATCCTTGGGTTAAGATGTGGTATTAGAGCTGAGCTGGGCCTAGCTTGGCTCATCATTATAATCAATTTGATAATTCCAAACACGGGCCTAAAAGGATATTCAAAACCCAGTTGGCCCACTCAGCGCCAAATGTGATCTGGGCCCAGCACAGCTCATATTCAGGCCCAATTTGACCATTCCAAACCCTGGCCCAGAAGCATTTTCAATACCTAAGCCTACCCGGCACACGCTAGCTAGCAAAGACCCAAAAATCTTCACTAAAAATAAAATATACACTATTAAAAACAAAAAGAAGAAGAAAAAAAAAAGTGTTTGCATGTTAGCATTTGCACGAAAAAAAAAAAAGAACAAAAAAATATTCAAAGGATAATAAGGGTTCATATTTTATCAAACTTGGGAGTCCCTGCAAATTCAATAATACATCATCCTGTACAAGACACAAAAATTGTAGATTTAATCATATTTTGGCAAACTTGAGAGTCCTTGCAAATTCCCTAGCATATATCTTCAAAGTAAAAGCCACAAAAATTGTAGGCGGTATATAACAGATTTAATCATACAAATTTCTATCATTCCCTAGCATATATCTTCAAGTAAAAGCCACAAAAACTGCAGGTGGTTATATGACAGATTTAATCATACAAATTTCTATCATTCCCTAGCATATATCTTCAAGTAAAAGCCACAAAAACTGCAGGTGGTTATATGACAGATTTAATCATACAAATTTCTATCATTCCCTAGCATATATCTTCAAGTAAAAGCCACAAAAACTGCAGGTAAGAAAGAAACCATCATCGGTAGATCTGAGATGTTTCGGTGAGATTAGAAAGAAGAGTTGATTAAACTCACCTCGGCAAGTCAAGATGAGTTTAATCAACTGGCCTTCCAAACTCCCACGTTCATCCAAGAGAAGAAGAGATCTAATCACAAGATTCACTAAAACCTAAAACCTAAAAGTATCTCTGCAAGTTGAGAGATTGAGTTAATTACACTTAGCACCCTTGCATTTTCGTCATAATCTCACTTTGCTCCCTTTGCTTTCAATTCATTAAGTCAGTTCTTAGTTGCACAAAGCGGGAGCGGGGGAACGTGACCACTTAGAGGAGTCGTAAATTAGGAGCGCTTACATATTATAAATAAAAAATTATAATAAATAAGAAATAATAAATTATGTTAAAATAAATAAAAAGAAAAATTAGATAATTTATTTTATAATTTTTTTATTATATATGGTTTAATTAGATTTCTTTTAAATAATTGGATGATTTATTTTATTTATTATATGTTAAAAAGTTAAGAAATAATAATTGAATATTTTATTATATATGGTAAAAATTATAATTTATAAATTTTATTACATATATAATATATGATAAATTATATTTATTATATATATTATATATGATATATGATATATATTATATGATCAATTAAATAGAGACAGAGAGAGAGGGAGAGAACAACGAACAGAGATGAAGAGGGAGAGAAGCAGAGACAGAGAGAGAGAGAAGCACAGAATAGAGATGAAGAGAGAGAGATGAAGACGATCAAGAGAGTACGAAGATGATCGAAGCCCTCAGAGACGAAGGCGATCGTGATCGATAGTGAGAGAAGAGAGTGACGAAGGCAATCAAAGTCCTAATCTCAACACTGGTCCACTGTAAGTTCTCTCAACAATCTCTCTCTCTCTCTCTCTCTCTCTCCCTCCTTTACGATCCCATCTTGGACTGAATCGCGTTTCTCTCTCCACAGAAACGCGATTCTTACACGTTTCTTTCGCGGAATCGCGATTCTTACTCAGAATCGCCACCCGCGATTCCTGCAACTAAGAGTCAGTTAACCCCTAACCGCTTTAACTCAAGCTGCAATCTATGTTACACAGACTCGGGTGCGGGTATCGGGTGCGCGTGCGGATGCATATCTGGGGTCGGACACTTCAAAATTAAAAATTAAGGATACTTGGATGTGGATCCAAATGTGGATACGGGTACAGTGATACGTTAAATAGTTATTTTAAAAATATATTTATTATATGAAGATGAGTTAAAAAAAGTTGACCCAATAATTTTTTTTTATAAATAGAATCAAACATATGGATAAGTCATATAATAACCCATGTTATTGTTGAAAAGTTTATTAACAGGCCCAAATATTTTATTTTTTTATTTGGATCCAACCCATTAAGATTTATTATGATACAAACAAGCCAATAGGTGTAAATTTTTTTGGGTCCAGCCCATTATAGTTTATAATATTAATTATTATGATACAAATCAATGCCCAAACTTTTTATTTATTTATTTGGGTCCAGCTCATTAAGATTTATAATATTAACAAGCCAATATCCCAAGCCTTTTATTTATTTATTTATTAGGTCCAGCCATTAGGGTTTGATACAAACAGCAGCAGCAACTTTGACATGTCTGTCTCACATGCACAGCAACAACACGTCTGTCTTCTCTTCGCTTCTCTCTCACACGCACAGCAACACGATGGGTCTGTCTCTTCTCTTCTCTTCTCTCACACACGCACAGCACGATCGAGAGAGATACCGAGGGAGAGAAGGAGATCATGATAGAGAGAGAGAGAAGGAGATCATGATAGAGAGAGAGAAGGAGATCAAAAGACACGATCAAGATCTTGAATCCATACATCAATGTAAGTATCTCAACCTTCTTCTTCCTTTTTGATTAGTCGTGTCCGAGAGAGGAGAGGCGAATCCGACACAGATCCCACACCCGCATCCATGTCGTGTCGTGTCGTGTCGACAAGGGTACTTCGCCCCAAAGTGCCGAGTCCATGTAACATAGGCTGCGATGTCACCTTTTGCCCATCTATTGTTAATGAGGTTGATGAAGAATAAAAATAAACGAAACAAAACGATGAAAATATAGTGTAACTAACTGCGGGGGAGCAAGTTTTGTGGTAGCAACAATTTGAGACTAACCTTCTAACCAACTGTGCTATGCCCAAGAGGTTGGCCCAAAGAGTTTCGAACTTGAGACTTGGGGTCTTAACCCCCAGGCCTTTACCAAGTGCGCTACAAGCCTTGGGTTAAGATATGGTATTAGAACTGAGATGGGCCTAGCCTAGTTCATCGTTAGAATCAATTTGATGATTCCAAACACGGCCCCTAAAAGGATATTCAAAACCCAGTTGGCCCACTCAGCGCCAAATGTGATCTGGGCCCAGCACAGCTCATATTCAGGCCCAATTTGACCATTCCAAACCCTGGCCCAGAAGAATTTTCAATACCTAAGCCTACCCGGCACACGCTAGCTAGCAAAGACCCAAAAATCTTCACTAAAAATAAAATATATATTATTAAAAACAAAAAGAAGAAGAAAAAAAAAAAGTGTTTGCATGTTAGCATTTGCACAAAAAAGAAAAAAAGAAAAAATATATATTCAAAGGATAATAAGGGTTCATATTCTATCAAACTTGGGAGTCCCTACAAATTCAATAACACATCATCCTGTACAAGACAAAAATTGCAGATTTAATCATATTTTGGCAAACTTGAATCCTTGCAAATTCCCTAACATATATCATCAACTAAAAGCCACAAAAACTGCAGGTTGTATATAACAGATTCAATCATACAAGTTTCTATCAAATAAAAACCAAATTTTGGAGGTCAGAGAGTAGATTCAACTAGGACCTGATATTCTTTTGAAAGATTAGAGAGAAAGAAGAGAAAAAGAAAGAATACGGAGAGCGAAAGAGCGAGAAACATCACCATCATCGGTAGATCTGCGATGTTTGGGTGAGAATAGTGAAGGCGAAGCCAGATTCAATACAATCGTCGGTTTCAGCCTCGGATTGGCGGTGTTCCTGACAAAGACCATTGGAATCCGACAGTGGTTGATGACTAGGATATATATACGTACAAAGGAATACGGCAGTGGTGGATGACCTGGATATATGTACATGGAAAGGGGTCAGACGGAGGTTCATGACCATGATATATATATATATATGCAAAGGATGAAAGGGTTGTGAGGAATAGGATAGAGGAAACAAAGGCCATGTTTGTTTACCGGAGTGAGAGGCAAACTTGAGAGTCCTTGCATATTCCCTAGCTTATATCATCAAGTAAAAGCCACAAAAACTGCAGGTTGTATATAACAGATTTAATCATACACATTTCTATCATTCCCTAGCATATATCATCAAGTAAAAGCCACAAAAACTGCAGGTGGATATATAAAAGATTTAATCATGCAATTTCTATCAAATAAAAACCTGATTATGGAGATCAGAGAGCAGATTCAACTCAGATCTGGAAATGCTTTTGAGAGATTAGAGAGAGAAGAGAAAAAGAAAGAACATAGAGAGGAGAGAAAGAGCGAGAAAGAAACCATCATCGGTAGCTCTGAGATGTTTCAGTGAGATTAGTGAGAGAGAAGCCAGATTCAACACAGTTCTCAGTTTCAGCCTCGGCGGAAGAGGTACCAGATCGGTGGTGTTCCTGACGAGGGCCATCGGAATCCAACAGTGGTGAGCTTGCCTCCGGTGGTGGTATTTTAACCATTAACCATCATAATTAATACGAGGGTGGAGGGTTGGTCTCTTATACTGATGGGGGTGGGGGGTTGGTCTCTTATACTGATTGGGTTGGTCTCTGATACTGATACTACTAAACTCTTTAAAGAAACCGGGGGAAAGAAGAGAAAAAGAAAAGAATATGGAGAGAGAAAGAGCGAGAAAGAAACCATCATTGGTAGATCTGAGATGTTTTGGTGAGATTAGTGAGAGAGAAGCAGATTAGTGAGGGAGAAGACAGATTCAACACAGTTCTCAGGCCTTTCCGTTTTTGTATGCATTCATTAACTCCTGTTCCTTGATTACTTTTCAATTGTTGTATGCATTCATTTTCTCTCCCATATAATCTCTCCCTCCATGGTCTCTCTTCTTGCCTCTTTATTTGCTAGGTTATTGGGCCTATTTTTGGGCTCAAATTCGATAATTCGAACTGTTCATATTTTAAAATTTACTAAGTATATTATATTTGTAAAACATCAAATTGATTGAATATCAGAAATCATATGCTCAAAAAACTGTTCATTAAATTTTTTTTAAAAATGGTTTTTTGTTCGATGATCTAAACACATAATTTCTGATATTTGATTAATTTGATTTTTTACAAGTACGATATACTTAACAAATCTTAAAATGTGAACGATTCAAGTCATCGATATTGATCCCAAAAATAGGCTCAATAACCTAGCAAATAAAGAGGCAATAAGAGAGACCATGGAGGGAGAGATTATATGGTGCAGAAAATGAATGCATACAAAAACGAAAAGTAATCAATGAACGGAAGTTAATGAATGCATACAAAAACGGAAAGCGCCTGTTGGTAATCATTTCATTTTTAGTTTATATTTACAAAAATTTTAAAAATTATCATAAAAACTTATTTTATAATTTTTTTGGTTTATAAATGATTGTTTCAATTTGTAAATTTGAGGAAAAAACGTATGGGAGATTTATTTATAAGTCATTTTTTAAACACTTATGGTAGGCTAAGTCCTGTATAATTTCTTATAGAGTCTCAAGTCCTATTTAGATAAGAATGTATTCTACAAGATCCTACATAAACGTAACGTGACGTGATACTTACATAAACGTAGCGTAACGTGACACCTATATATACGTAATGTAAC